GACACGATCTTTAATAATAGGATGGAGAAACGAGGACTAACCAATATCGGGGGTTAAGGTCGTTTATATAAAATTTCATAAAATTGAAGTACAGATTAATAGAGAATTCAAAAATATTTGTTTTGACAGTGGAAGCTGCTGTTTCTATAACAACAAGGAACCTAGTGGAGCCTCATTGGTCAAGCCTAGGAATACATAACATTTTAGTGAGACAACATTACGAGCAAATCAGTATGTACCAATGTAAGGAAGGGATGCCATCGTTTGAATTTACTTTGTTCAAGCAAAGAATCTTGGTGGCCGGTATAGAGAATAAATTTATTGTAGAAATGAACTCGATCGAGAAACCATGTGAGGAAAACCACCTATGTAAAATATTATTTCTTTGAATCCTAACTTTTTAAAAAACGTCTACTGAATAAAATTAAATGTTGTCACCATATAATGCTCTGTGGAATTGATGAGAACGAGAGCGCGCTGCAACAGAAAGGTAGCGAAGCGAAGGGTAGGTAGAGAATACGCAACTAGACTAGAGAACAAGATGGGCTGGTCTCTTAGCCGCGTGTCTGTAATTATTCATTATTCAATTTTTATTTTTATTTTGCATTAAACTGATTGTTCAATACAATTTGTTATTAGTGTGTGGGTCAAGGAGCGATCACAGGTCAGTTGAATAATTGTTATTTTGTTTTTGAGAGTTCAATTATTTATACAAGTATAATTTTTATTTTTTTTCATTTTTATGTTTTTTTGTTTGTTTATAACATTTTTTATAACATTTGCATTGTTCATGTACTTAACAAAAATCGTTTCATGCTGTAAACAACACAGATAGAGAGTAAATAAAAACCTAGAAAAAATTATGTGCTGTCTTTTGTGCTAGGATTTTGATTTTTGGATTTAGAGCGTGCATTAGGGCCTTGTTGAATTTACTAACATTTTCCTACCCTGACAAGAGAATATCCTAGCAAATTGAAATAAGAAATCAAGAGACATTGGCTCAAAAACACCTATAGCTGAGTAGCATCCCGTATGGGACCTCAGTACCTGTTGGGAAACTGGCTAACTAACCAAAAAACTCTTCAATATTGAATATAGGCAGTGTTAATTGAATGTTGTGTGTGGAATTAAAATTTTAGCACAAAGACAAAGGATGGTACCTAATTTGAACTTTTATTATCTTAAAATATCGATTATTGACTTACAATTATTATTAAAATTACACAGTATGTTTCGATTTTTGAGGAATGTTAGATCGAGGGTTTCTCTGCCGTGCTCTTTTCCCTCGTTAGTTCCAGGATGAGAACGGTACGATTTACTTTAATAATAAAGTAGACGTTTAACAAATTTTTCGTTTCTTTTACATATCACAACTTCCCTTAAATTTCCCAAATATTTGCTATGTCGGGCGCATGTCCAGTCCAAAATTGAGTAAGTTCTCACAACGTAGGTCCTATTTGTTTTTCATTTCGTTTTTCAGAAGATTTGTTGTTTAAAAGGTAGTAAAAATTCACACCGTTCAATCTTGCTGAACGTACCCAGGTATGTTATACTACACATGTTTTCTCCTTCGACCTTTCTACGGATTCAAAATTCAGTAATAGAAACACGTCTCCAGTAATGAAAGTAGCTTACAAGTTACGCCAATGTTAATACCTTCTGGATTTTGATAATGCTGCTTCTACATTTAAACAGTCCCAGATGATGTCAAGATGAGAAAATTAATTTGAAAATCTTTCGAATACCTACCTGAAAGAAGCTATTAGCCGCTTCGTAAATGTCAACTTAGAGTCTCTCAATCAAAGAAGTGCTTTTTATTCCAACAGAAATTATACATCTTGAGTCAGTTTTTAGACAATAACGTTATGGAGGAAAATATGTAGATGCAGCCAGGAAAATATGTAGCTGCTGGTCCAGACCAAATAACGAACATGCATTTAGGATTATGATTTTATTATCGCGCTGATTTGTGAAAGGGTTCGCTGTTAAAGCTTCGACTAACCGAAAAAAAAATAAGTTGATTTTATGATTTTTGACACGGATGCCAGCCAAACCACTATTGAGGCAGTGGACCTGTATCTTAGGGCCGTATATGTTCACAAATATAGGATTTCCGCACTGTAGAATCGTATTTTTTGTCAAACAAATTACTTGTTCACTCGTTTTTCCAAAATTTTCCCCCGATACGTTGAAATGATTGGGTGATTTGTGTCACATTAGAAAAATACCCAAATTTAATTAGTTGTAGAAATTGTCGAAAAAATTTCATGAAATCGATAATAATTGGTGCCAAAATTTACATGTGCTCTCAGTAATGTGTACCGAAGCATCGTCGGTTTTCGATTCGAAATAATGGTTAGATCCTGATAATAAATACATATCAGTCATCACGTTCAGAAATCAGAATATTGAGTGAAGAAACTGGACGAGGACAGTTATGGATAGGCAGAAATGGAAAATATTTACATTCAAGAGTGAATGAGAACATACTCAGAAAAAGATTTCATTAATTGGCCAGAAGTTTTCGTTATTCCGATATCTCAGATGCCGCAGTTTTTAGTCGTCATCGTTTACTAATGAAGAGAAACATTCAATTGGTCATCTCCACGAAAATATGTAACATCAGGCACTTGCCAGACAAGGAAAAAATCTTTATATCTTCAAAGCTATAGAAATTAGAAATGCTGGCAAAGGTAGGTAATTGCAATGCAAGGACAATCATTAATTCAGCTGGATTTCGGAGAGGTAATTTAGTGTGGCCCAACAATAAATTGTCTTCACCATGGGAAGGACTATACGAGAGTTTAAATGATTTAGCTAATCGAACTTAGCGCATAACACCAAGAGAATTTAGAGATTGTTATAGGTTGTAGTATAACATACCCGGGTTCGTTAGAAAGATTTTTTCAGGTAATGACCAACGTGAATACAGGGACACTACGGTCCCTGTTTGGGAATCGGCCCACTGAGCAGTGGACTCAGGCTTCCCGAGCCAATCCTTGACGCGTTTCGTCCTTGTTAGGACTCATCAGAAGGACATAGGCTGAAGCTCCCTGTTCAAGCAAAATTGAACTTCGTTGACCAGTCAGAAACAACTACTCCGAGGGCAAATACAAACAGGGACCGTAGTGTCCCTGTATTCACGTTGGTCATTACCTGAAAAAATCTTTCTAACAATTTCCATTGCCAACGAAAGCTCAGACCAATCAGTGTAGTTCAACGCCGGTAGGGGTATTTGCCCTCGGAGTAGTTGTTTCTGACTGGTCAACGAAGTTCATACCCGGGTTCGTTCAGTAAGATTGAACGATGAGAATTTTTATACCCTTTAAACAACAAATCTTCTGAAAAATAAAATGAGAAACAAAAAGGACCTACGTTGTGAAAACTTACTCAATTTTACTTACTGGACATGCGCCTGACATAGCAAATATTTGGGAAATTTAAGGGAGGTTGTGATATGTGAAAGAAACGAAAAATTTGTGAAACGTCTACTTTATTATTAAAGTAAATTGTACCGTTCTCATCCTGGAACTAACGAGGGGAAAGAGCACGTCAGAGAAACCCTCGATCTAACATTCCTCAAAAATCGAAACATACTGTGTCATTTTAATAATAATTGTGAGTCATTAATTCAATAAAAGTTGAAACTAGGTACCGCCCCTGTTTTTGTACTAACATTTCAATTACACACACTACATTCAATCAACACTACCTATATTCAATACGGAATAATTTTTTTGTTAGTTAGCCAGTTTCCCAGCAGGTACTGAGGTACCATACGGGAAGCTACTCAGCTATAGTTATTTTTGAGCCAATATCTCTAGATTGATTATTTCAATTTGCTAGGATATTCTCTCGTCAGGGTAGGAAAATGTTAGTAAATACACAAAATCAAAACCTCAGCACAAAAAGACAGCACATAATTTCTTAGGTTTTAATTTACTTCTCTGTGTTGTTTACAGCATGAAATGATTTTTGTTAAATATATGAACAATGCACATGTTATAAAAAAAAAATTATAAACAAACAAAAAAACATAAAAATGGAAAGAATGATACTTGTATAAATAATTGAACTCTCAAAAACAAAATAACAAATATTCAACTGTCCTGTGATCTCTCCTTGACACATACACTATAATAACAAATTGGATTGACCAATCAATTTAATGCAAAATAAAAATAAAAATTGAATAATGAATAATTACAGACACTCGACACGTGTCCAAGGAACCAGTTCGGTTCGGTACTCTCGTTCTCCCCTGAACCTAAACGCCGCGGCGCAATACATGGTTGCAATATTTCCTTTTATTCAGTAAACGTTTTTTTAAAAAGTTAGGATTTAAAGAAATAATATTGTAATAGGTGGTTTTCCTCATGGTACATCTGGGCGATCGGGCTCGAGGGTGGGGTCAGTGTAGTGGGGATAACCTCATAGGAGAGGCATAAAGAATCCAGAACTGGCAAACTCTCCAAATGTCTTGTATTTACTCTTCATTTACCATCTCTATTATACTGGGTGTGTGAAATGATTGATGAAATGTGACTTCATTTTAGTGGAACCACATCTCCGGCATTTTTTTTTGGGGGGGAGACAAGAAAAATATCGGAGCATGCAAAACCCTATTTGCCATTGTATGTGATTGGTGATTGGTGTTCAAAATCAAATTCCACAATACCAATTCTTTGTTCAACGGGAAATTTCTCTATGGCAAAATTCTAGTCTTTGCTAGACCTGTCACATAGCTATTTTTTTAAAAATTGATCGACGCAAAAATTAATAGTTTTTAAAACCATTTATTAACTTAGTAACTTTCGAGAGTCCTTCTTCTTGGCCAAACCAACAAGATCCTCTCCCAATTCTAATTTAACATAAAAATAAATTGCTTTTTAAATCAAAGAGATTTGCCACCCATTTAAATCAAATTATTAAGATAGGAGCAGGGCTAACCCTCTTGCTGAGTTTAAATTAAATTCAAACCTCTGACTGCTTTGTTACAGTTCCCCCTTCGATTTGGATTCAGTTTCAATTAATCGGAGCGTATCAAGGACAGAAAGTTACCTTAGAATGTCATTCGCAGGCTTTCCCTAAATCAATTAACTACTGGTCTAGGGATAATGGAGATATTATACATCACAGTGAGACTGTCTAATCTAACATATGAATATTTAATTAGTAATATTGTTCTATTTTACAGGCACGAAATTCGTTCCGGAAATCATCGGGGACAATTACGAAGTCCACATGAAACTGACTATTAATTATTTGGACGAGCGAGATTTTGGGATCTATAAATGCATTTCAAAGAATTCTTTAGGGGATATGGAGGGATCGGTTAACGTTTATAGTAAGGACACATTATAATCTCCATAATCTAATAAAATCGAAATTATACCTTGTGTACATGTGTTTATATTATGTTAGAAAAATGCCTATTAGATATTTTTTCTATGATTTTAGAAATTCCTCAACCAAATATCATGGCAATGATACCTGAGAAAGAAAAATCTTATAAAAGTGAGTAGGTAGTAGTTTTAAAATTTTCATTGTAAGAGAATTTCTCCAGGAGACTTCTCAATAAAAGAACATACCTTGATAGAATATGTGCATATTTTTAAATGTTTTTCCACCTTTTAGGCGCGCCAACTGTCGAGATGGAAGATTTACTTTATCAAGTGGAAAATAATAAAAAAGGTAAAAAAACGCCATTCGATTACAGTAAACTTTAGGCATGACGCATTAATTTTTTTTACAGCTGAAGAGAAAAAAGTTCTAAAAGAGGAATCGCAGCATTCGACGAGCGACAGTTATCGGATTATAGAATCTTTCCCGTTTTGTTTAATGCCTACTCTTTTAGCTTTCAGAATTTAAATAATTTGCATTTTTTTATATGGGGAAAATAATTAGGTACCGATTGAAAAATTTTTATTTCGGAAAAATGCCCTGTAAGGAGCAACTTGTAAATATTGTATATGACTTTAAAAAAAACTTTGTTCAATAATCAATTTTCAGGCATATAAGACATGTAAATGCAAACAAAATGTAAATAAGTTATTGACTAGTAGCTAAATTAAGTGTAATTTTATTAGGCCTACAACTTGAATTAATTTATTTTTTTTTTTTTGGTGTTTTGCCGATCATAATGGAACGCTATAATGTATAGATTCTTATCAGCTACTATTCCATAAAGAAAACAAATATTTCCAAAAGCTCGCCAACATATTCAAATTGAGTTTTTTTCAAGTTGCCTGAAAGTGAAGCCTGATTAAATTACACCTGAAATATAAAGAAAAGGTAGATAGATATTACAAACTAAAATAAATGTAAGTTCATTTCACGAAGGTTTGTACTTTTGACATCGATGATGTCATAACTTGGAGAAAAAGGTTTGTCGTAGATTGATTCATATTGTAGCAAAACGCCCCAAGTACTCTATGTAATTGGTTAGATGGTAAATGGCGAGCGGTATATTGACGGTGTTTATTTCCTTGGAGCTGCTACCTAAAAAATTGTGGAAGGGTCTATTCGCAACAGAGAGAAACAAGCTATTGAGGTTTACTAATTTATATTTTATTATACTTAAAACCAAAAATTCAAATCAGCAAAATATTCTTCAATTCTGACAGCCTCATCTATTTTTCTGAATTGAATTACTTCACATCCGTTCAAATGTCATTATTACGGACCGGGAAATATCCATACAAATAAAGAAACGCCCTATTCCTCAATTGTCAATTGTCAATTAACTTCTTATCATTCAGAATCATTATTAAAAGTCAGAAAAACATTAATAACCACAAGTACTTACATTTAAATTATCACTCGATAAAATACTTAATTAATTACTTCAAAATCTCTAGAGCACGCACATAATTGTTGAACGAATTTAATTGTTCTTTCTTTCGCGATTTTCCGTACTTTTCTAAGTTAAATCGAACGCGTTTTTCCCGAGGCCCTAAAAGAACTTTTCGCGGATTTTGAACGGTCTGACTCATTAGGTACTGTAGACTTTAACTCAAACTGGACTAAACTAACAACTCAACTGACCACTCCACTTCTAAAACCGCTTGTTTTATAGTTTTTCGATTCCCCCCCCCCCCCCCCCAAAGTATTATCAATTATCCACCAAAATCGGCAATAGGCGGTCGTTCGACTATCAATAAGTCAATTCCATTGGCCGACCTAGATTTTATCAAAAAATAATGATGCAATGTATTTGAAATTTTTGTCATTTTTATTTGTTTAAAATCGAATAATTATGTCGCAATATCCTGATTTATAGAGGTCAAAAACTTTAGTTTAAGAATGTGAGGGCAACACAAAGAAAGCCGACACACGTGTGCCATAAATCTTCAATTTAATAATTATGGCCTTGCTTGCAATTAAGGAATTTTGGATGATGACACAGGCTTGATGACAAAATACCTAATATAATATTGAACGTTAATTTGTTTCCTTGTCAGTTTATTGATACTGATTTGAAATACCGGAAATTCAGTTTTTGATTATTTGATTACATTTAATTTTTACAGTAAAGACATTGTTAATATCGGGACTATTTTGCCGGACCATTACATCCCTCCGCCCTTCAAAACCGAAATTATATTGAATAAGATAATTTTGGTCAAATCTTATTCAAGGTCCCATTAAAATATAGAATTTCCCCAAAAATTTAGGTACCAGCCTCGTAAAATGTGGTTCGGTCGATGAACCCTCTGTGATTTATGGGTTACTTTTCTCAATGTACCTGCTCAAAACTGAAAATAACATCAATAAGAATCCTAGATCATTTTGGTCACATTTCAACAATCTCAAAAATAACTTTGTCCTTCCCTGTAACATGAGTTATAATGGCTCTACTGGCTGTAGTAATCAAGAAACCGTAGACTTGTTTGCAGACTTCTTTTCAAGTGTGTACTCGAGCCGCACCACTAACCAGGCTCCAGAATACTCATTCTCCAACGTCACTGATGTTTCTGCATACTCTGTTTCTTGTGCTGATATAATAGAGCAAGTAAGAAATTCACCTGATAAGTTGTCATGTGGGCCGGATGGAATTCCCTTGCTCTTTATAAAGAAATGCCTGTATACCCTTGCGACGCCCCTGGCAAGTCTCTTCAACCATTCATTGTCAACAGGTTCTTACCCAGTTTTGTGGAAGTTCAGCTTTCTGAAACCAATATTTAAAAGTGGGTCAAGAGAAGAGGTCACGAATTACAGGGCTGTTTGTACGCAGTCTGAGATTCCTAAGTTGCTAGATTGTCTCATTACCAGGAAACTTAGCTGGGACTGCAGGTACCTTTTAAATCCGGAACAGCATGGGTTTACGGTGGGTAGGTCAACATCAACAAATTTGGTTTTGTATCAGAATTTTATTTTGTACAGCATGGAGAGGGGATTCCAAGTTGATTCTGTATACTCGGACTTATCTAAAGCCTTTGACAGGGTTAACCATCGCCTGCTCATTAGGAAGCTTGGCTGTTTGGGGCTGAGAGGTTCAATTCTGAGTTGGTTTGATGACTTTCTTGTTGGGAGAACACAGGCAGTAAGGTATGGCGGTGTTGTGTCTCGGGTCTTTGATGTTCCTTCTGGAGTTCCTCAGGGGTCTCACTGTGGACCAGTCTTGTTCAACCTGTTCATATCTGATGTGGGTAGTTCTGTTGCCCACAGCTCATTTTTGTCATTTGCAGATGACCTTAAACTTTATCGTCAGGTATCATCATTGGAAGACTCACAACTGCTGCAATATGATATCAATTCTTTTAATAAATGGTGTGGCTTGAACGAAATGGACCTCAATATCGCCAAATGTTATGATAACTTTTTCCAGGTTGGCCCAGTCGGTGAATTTCCCTTACACAATTAATAACACATCAATCAGGGAAGTAGTGAGCATTCGAGATTTGGGTGTGGAATTTGATTCCAAGATGTCATTTAATGGCCATGTTACCAATACTGTATCAAGGGCTGTTAGATGTTTCGGCTTTATATGTAGGTCCACTACTGATATGTCAGTGAGTACATTGCGAACATTGTACTGTGCGATGGTCCGATCCTTGTTGGAATACTCATCAGTTATTTGGTCACCCCAATATGCTGTTCACATTGCAGCTCTGGAAAGGGTTCAGAATAGATTTCTAAGGGTGGCTGCTTACAGGTTGGGCTTGGCTCATGATGAGTATACTTATGATGAGATGAGGGCTATCTTGAATGTTCATACCTTGAAGAGCAGGAGACTTCAGGCGGATCTTTCCTTTCTTTACAGACTTTTGAGAGGGTTAATTGACTGCCCGGATCTTTTGGGTCTCGTTTCTTTGAGAGCAGGAGAAAGAAGGGTGAGAGGTTGTGACCTGTTTTATGTACCATTCCATAATACTAATTATGCTCAGGTTTGCCAAATCCAGGAGCCGGAGTATTGACATCTTTGGTTGTCCTTCTGTTGCTGCCTTTAAGAGGAGATTGCAACCGCTGCTTGCTGGTTAGTTTTTTAAAAATGAGTCGTATGTTTTTTGGTTAGGTATTAACTTGGGGAAGAACAGGATGTGATTGTTAGTGCTTAGATTTAGTTATTGTCAAACTATTTATTGTAAATTGTTTTACGATTGTTTTTGTAAATTGGCCTTGCCGTTAATAAATAAATAAATAAATAAATAAATTTTAAAAATTTGACGATAATATTATCCGAGTATTTATCAGTTCGTTCAACCTAATTATGTGCAAGCTTTTTCTACCCTAAATTTCACATTTCTTAAAAATATTGGTTATATTTTTAATTTTACTAAAACAACAGAATTAATACGGAATTAACTTTTCCCGTATAATTTCGCAAGTTCATTCACAATAATAACTATTAAAGATTAATTTATAAATCTTTACTCAAAACTAGATTTTCCTAGCATCAAAAATTTTTCTTAATTTTCTTCATTAATACAATTTTCATTTAATATTTAACTTCAAAATTGTTGATGCTAGAACGACACAAAACAAATTTCAATCTTACAATAACCCTTGCTTGTAGCAAAGTTTACTTGTAACGCTTGTTGCTCAGTTAGGCCTATATTGAGTGGGCCTATATTACGGCCATCCATGGATCCTGGCGACTCATTGGCTAACGGTGTGTTTCAAGTGTCTAAACAATTTTTATATAATTATTTCTCTAATTACCTAAACTACGGCTTTTAAATTTTTGTAAATTCTTAAAATCTACTCTAATTTTTCTTATTCTTAAATTTTATAGCTAACATCCTTCCCTATGCATTTCACTTAATTCCTAGTTAGATTTACATATAGACTAGACATACTCTGATTTTTATTTTTACAGTTTCTTCATTTCATAATCCTTAAATCTAGCGGGCCATTTTATGTCCCGTGTCCTCGTACTTCTTCGTACTTCCGGATCGTGTTCCTCGACCTCTTCTTCTTCCTCTTCCTCTTCATCTTCGGAATTTTCCTCATTTTCTTGGTTTATATTTTCTTCCATTTCTCTATGCCTGCCGGGTAATTCTTGTCCCCGTGCTAAAAACTCATCTTCTTCTTGCGCCCTTATTTCATCATTGACGCCATTATTTTCATTTTGATCGACGATTTCTTCATTCTCGTCTCTTGTCATTTCCCTATGAATTAGTGGAAATTCTATAATGTCTTCTCCTCTGGGTAGAACCTCATTGTCCTCCTCTTCATCGGATTCACTATCTCCGTGATCTTCGTGTAGGATTTATCATTCTATCCTCCAACCCTTTACATGGTTTGAGCCTTTCAGCATGTAAAATCTGCTCTTTCCCTTTATTTTAAAAGTAACCGGTCCTAGCTGTTGAGTAATTTGACTCGGTCCTGACCATTTACAACGGAATTTTGGTGCTAAATTCCTCCCTGGAAAAACTGGATTCTTCACATAAACTAAATCCCCGACTTGGAATTCTTTCTTAATCCTTTTTCTATTGTGCTTCTCGCATCTTTTCTTCATAAACTTTTGTCGATGGTATGGTACTGTATAAGGCCTCTTTATGATTGG